GATATTCAAACCCTGGTCTCCCAAAGTACAACATTTAAACCACTGCAACACATTGGCTCTTTGTTTTCTGGTAGGCTGTCTTCCTTTTAAAAAATTGTTGGCCTACTTTTTCACCGAACTATTAATAGAGAAAGATTCATTTTAGATGCCACCAGCAAGACCAAGAAATAAATAAATAAAGAAAGAAGCAAATCTACAGCAAAAACAGAGCAATCCCAGGGGATGTTGTTACTCTGCAATCAATGCACCTGGCATCTCCCTGCAGAATAAAAATCTAAGGAAAGAAATGCCTATTTCATACCAGCCTTGCCAGGGACGGATTGTCAAAAGGCTGCTACTTGGAACACTGCAGATGCCTTTAATTAGGTTGGAACCAGCAAAGTTCCCAATTAGTCCATTGTCAGAATAAAACCTCCTTGCATGGATTGTCTTTGCCAACTGGAAGGAGAGTCCTCATTTCACCTGTGCGGGAAAGGCTTCCTTGCCAAGGATGCGGAAAATAATTTCATTTTCATAGAGGCAGGGGAGCGACAAAAGAGACATTGCAAGCTTGCGGGCAGAGATGGATCAGAAAAAGGTAAGTAGGAACCATCAGAGGTAGGATGGAGGGAAGAACGACTACGGTGGTCCCTTGGTATCCACTGGAGTTTGGTTCCAGGACCCCCCATGGATACCAAAATCCGTGGATGCTCAAGCCCCATTAAATACAATGGCATAGAGAAAAGGTATTCCTTATATAAAATGGCAAAGTCTAGGTTTGCTAATTGGAATTTACATAATTTTGAGTATTTTCAAGCCATGGATAGTTGAATCCGTGGATAAAATGTCCGTGGATGTGGAGGGCTGACTGTACTCTGCATACAGTTGTTACCACCTTGTGCCAGGGCTGGCTACACAACAGTTGGCCCTCAGTATCCACAGATTCAACCATCCACAGTTTGAAAATATACATTCCAAAAAGAAAACATTGATTTTGTCATTTTATATAAGGGACACCATTTTACTAAGCCACTGTTCTTAGTGGTACTTGAGCATCCATGGATTCTGGTATCCAGAGGGGGTCCTGGAACCAAACATCAGCGGAAACCAAGGGCCAACTGTACCAGGATGGTTAGATTCTCCTCCATTTCCCAGAGCCCCCATTTTAAATTTACCTCCATTTCCCATTTGCCACCCCCCATTGCACTAATTTCAAAATCAGAAGTGGATTGCCACAAACTTCTAATTTTATGGTTTTTATTTTGGCTGTCCCTGGGACTCCCAGAGGGTCCCAGGGCAGAAAATTGACCCCTGGAGCTCTTACAGTCCTTTCATCCCAGCATAAGAAGGAGTAAAGCTGAGATGCTCCACAGTGTATCACAACTAGAGGAGTTATGCACGGATGATGCTATGCAACCCTGGCGTCGAAGGGCAATGCTCTGCAACTGAACGCACACCCCCAATGTGCAACCAAATACACATGTATTCTCACATGTGCACCTGTGTGCACAAAGGCACCCCATGCACTCATCTGCTTCTGCAACCTTGAACTGGACACAGGGATGTTCCACATCAGACCAAAACACCTCACCATTGGAACACATGCGTAAAAAAGAAAGTGGCCAAGGTCTTCTAAAAACTACATCTCCCAGAATCTCCAGTCCCACTGACGCTGAAATCCTTTAAAAATTTTCGAGGGGGACTTGGCTGCTAGGAGTGTGTTACAATGAGAAAGGCATCTTTCAGAATTCAACAAAGTTCTTATATTATTTTCTAATGTTTAGGGACCATTTAATACCATAGGATCTAACTTCTATCTTCCCAATCGATGGTTCCTTTCGACCCACATAGATTGTCTGTGGGTCACATCTTAGGGATAATGTTAAAGGAAGGTGTTCACTTTCAGCCTGTCTCCCAATTACACAGCTGATCACAATAGGAATCAAATCATGAGAAACAATAAAATAATCTATTGTAGAAGCTCCACGGCTTGACAAAAAGGTATATTCACCTTCTCTGGCTGAGTGCCGTAATAAATCAAATCAAATCAAATCAGTCCCACTGTATGTTGCCTGGGGGATTCAGGTGTCCCCAAACTTCAATTCCACCCGTCCACCGTACTCTGAGAGGGAGGCATATAAATACACACACAATAAAGGACCGCCATGAGTCGAGATCGACTCGAGGGCAGTGAACATCAACAAAAGTGGCATGCCTACACAGAGCCACTGCTTCCTCCTTTCTATGCCCAGCTGTGGCATTTCCAAAGCCGCCCTCCTCCTCCTTTGCCTCTCCATGCCAAGGGACAAAACACAGATGGCTCTTTTGTGGTGGCTGCGGGAGATGATGTCTTGTGTCACGAGGGAACGTGTGGGTCCCCCTCATTGTTCCCAAGCAATTCTTCTGCAAGAAAGTCTCTCTTTGTCAGAAAGGGAAAAAAATGTCAACAGGAGTCATCAGCATAACTGGAAGAAAGCCAGAATGGATGAAACGGGACATCCCTGGTCCTCCAAATGGATGTACGGGGGCTGGGGAAGCAAATAATAATAATAATAATAATAATAATAATAATAATAATAATAATAATAATAATAATAATAATAAATTCACCTTCTCTGGCTGAGTGCCGTAATAAATAATAATAAATTACATTATTATTATTATTATTATTATTATTATTATTATTATTATTATTATTTAATAACTAGGAATAACCCTGATGTTGGTTTGAGAAGGAGGGAAAGGAAACCCGAAAGAGTGTGATGGAAACAATTAAAAGTTCTAGCCCGCAACCAGATCCTCCCCTGAAAACTGTGCCTCTATTGTTCTTGTAATGATCACTGTATAGCTTGAATCTCAATTCTGAAATCCAAAATATTCCAAAGCTTTTCTCATGGGTGGCTGACATAGTCACACCTTTGCTTTCTGATGGATGGTTCAGCGTACACAAACTTGGTTTTGTTAACAAAGGGATTAAACATATTGTAAAAATTACCTTCAGGTTGTGTGTACAAGGTGTATATGAAACATAAATGAATTCTGCGTTTAGACCTGGGACCCATTCCCAAGATATTTCATGATATATGTACACGCCATGACAAATACACTGGGCCCTTGGTATCTGCTGGAGTTTTGTTCCAGGATACCAAAATCCTTGGATGCTCAAGACCCATTAAATACAACGGCATAGTAAAATGGTGTCCCTTATATAAAATGGCAAAATCAAGGTTTTCTCTTTGGAATTTATATATTTTTAAAAATATTTTCAAGCCATGGATGATTTAAACCAGGGATAAAGAATCTGTGGATACAGAAGGCTGACTGTATTCCAAAGTATAAAAAAATCCAAAATCCAAAACCTTTCTAGTCCCAAGCATTTCAGATAAGGGAGACTCAACCCATATTATTGCTGCTGCTATTGTTGTTATTGTTATTATTATTTCCCCCCCAAAATCAGGACTCTTAAGGCTACATTTCCCAAAGATGAGAATCGTGCAACCTTCCAGATGTTGTTGGACTGCAGCTCCCAACAGCCCTTTGCCAACAAGGCCAATAGTGAGGCACACTTCCAATCTGGAAGGCTGAATTGTCCTGCAGTCTCCTGGCTGTATAAATGAACAAAATAAATAAAATAAATAAACATTCTCCACCCCTACCTACCCTTGAGCTGGTCTTGCATTCAGATTTAGAGCCCAGAAGGAAGCACAACAATGAGGGGGAGGAACCGGACTGGCATGTGTGTGTGTGTGTGTGTGTGTGTGTGAAGTGGCCAGAGAGTGAGGCAGAAAATTTATAATTCGTACCAGTCAAGGCTCCAGACATAAAGTGAGTCTAGTGCAAGAGGGCAATATCATACCTGACAACATTTTACAGGACATGTGTGGCCAAGCAACATCAAACTGTGCCCAAAATGGCCAATCATAGAGTGCAGGAACTCACAATCAAAGCACTCTCAACAGACGGCCACCCAGCCTCTGTTTAAAGACCTCCAAAGGAGGAGACTCCCCCACCCTCTGATGGAGCATCTTCCATTGTCAAACACAGGGGTTGGCAACCTACGGCCCGTGGGCCACACCCGGCCCGCCAAGGCCTGCCGACCGGCCCCTGCCTGGTCCTGCCGCTGCCGCCACCACCTTTTGCAACCGTGGGGGTCCTCCGAGGTGCCATTTACGGAAAGGTTGCGCGAGACTCCAGGCGCCATTTTGGAACACAAAATGGCACCCCAGAGGACCCCCGCGGTTGAGGGAGCCCTCCTGGGGGACCCCCGCGGCCGCCAAAATGGCACCCTACTGTCTTGCTCATGCGCGCGTGATGCAGGGTGCAATTTTGGTTTCCAAAATGGCACCCCACGCACGCACGCGCACGACTGTGGGAGATGTGCACACGTGGGGAAGTGTGCATGTGCAGAAGCGCGCACGCTGACCCCCAGCGCCATTTCCCCCCCCCCCGGCCTGCTGGCAAAAAAGGTTGCCGACCCCTGGTCAAACAGCTTTTACTGTCAGGATATTATTCCTAATGTTGAGGTGGAATCTCTTTTCCTGTAGCTTGAATCCATTGTTCCAGGTGCTAATCTTTGGAGCAGCTGAAAACAAGCTTGCTCCATCCTCAATATGGCATCCCTTCAAATACTTAAAGAGGACTATTATCATATCACCTCTTAACCTTCTCTTCTCCAGGCTAAAGATACCCAGTTCCCTAAGCCTCTCCTCATAGGGCTTCATGGTTTCCAGACCTGTCACCATTTCGGTCATCCTCCTCTGGACATGCTCCTTTCAAACAGACACAGCTTGAAAATATTCCAGACAGGTATAAGTTCCAAAAAGCAAGCCTCAATTTTACTATTTTAT